TCCACACACACACACACACACACACACACACACACACACACAATAGAAACAAGACAGGAAAGGTGAAAAAATAGAACCTTCCAGAGACACCCTTCACCCACAGACAAATGTCTAAACCGCGCCGATAGGGACGTAATACGTTTCCAGACGTTGCAATGACACAAACTAGAAGCTCGAACTTAGGGGCCACAGATTCCGCTCTCTCGTGACCTACTGACCGACAAAGGTTTCACACAAAAAGTAGTCCTCTGAAGGGCATATGTGAGGCACGGTGGTGGAATCAGGCTCTGGTCAAAATAATCAAAGTGATAAAACTTGCATATTTCCACAGGTTTGGGAATGTTTTTCAAATTTTTGTTTTTTGGCTCAACACCTTTCATGCCCATTAAAGAAATCATTTCGGTGTGGATTTTTCTGAAAAACAATGATTAAAGGCACAAAAAATTGAAATTTTCAGTTACCACAGGCTCTTAAGCAAAGAACATGAAGAATCATTGGCAGCCATTTTCTCACTAATCTGATTCCACCATGCTGCCTCACATTTCATTTTATCAGATCATTTGTTTTACTTGGGTTTTTTTGTTTTGTTTCTCTATTTGGAAGCTGTGCCCGAATGTGTAGCATTCCTTGCTTATCATAGCCAACGTCTTGGTTTCCTTTTTATTTAGTAGCGAAGTCCGAACTCCAAAAAGGACTAGAAGGGAACAGCTGCTGAGAAGTGATCTTTGTGCACTAAACTTAACTGTATACCTTTTTTTTCTGTAGCTCGACAGTACTGTACAATCTCACGATGTGAATAGTTTTTCTACAAGTGTGAAACCAAAGGGGTTATATTTAGTACTACAATATGTGGCAGAGAAGTGTGTACGAACTTAAATTTTAGTAGAGAACCTAAAAATAGCTCTCTCGCTCTGTGTCACATGAAAACGAGCAGATAATGCTGCGTCCAAAGTTCTTACACCCACAGTTCTTACACATTATTTTCGCAAGCTATTTACATCTACTTTCACGAAAGAGTTCTTTCTCGCTAAATTAAAACGCCCTCGGAAGTAAAACTGTCCCGAGTATCGTATCTTGCCCTTACAGCAACGTTAAACCACTAGGCCTAACAACCAACCAACATATTCTTGCATCCCATCGAGATTACCCCCCCCCCCCCCCTTCCCCTTTTTCACTAAATTTTTACATCGCGCACAGAGTATAATATGTTGTACACTTTTCACACAAGGAAGATGCACTCTGACGCCTCTCCCAACCTCCACCCCCCTTAACTATTTGAATAAGTCACTGAAGATCAGACCTTCTGTAAATAGTATTTAGAAAATATTTTGCAGTTTAATGCGATTTCATATTCCCACCTCAAAGCCAAGGTACGACATACAACATAAGACAGTGAGAGACCGTAAATGATATCAACTTCTATAAATGTGTGGAAAAAACATTGACGATTCGGTGTGTGATGTGACATCACTGCCATAAAATCAAATCACTTGGGTCAAGCTCAGTTCAGTCACATCAACACTAGATTCTAGGTCTACGATAGATCTAGTGTATGGCCCTCAGGGCAGTTTTGATTTCAAGAGACCTTTAAATCAAACCCTAAGTCGCTTGCATCAAAACCCTCTTATCCGAACCACCCGTGACATAGAAATAATCCAATATAACCCAGTGAGTCAACTGGCGGACCTATTTGAAGTAGATCTAACGACAAAACATGATGCAAACCAATTTGAAAGAAAGGGAACGATTGAAAAGTACCCCAGCCTCATCCGGAAGTTCAAATTTATACAGGCGTGTTACAATTGTTGATTCGTGAGAGAACGTAGACAGCTTATATACATTCTCTTATGTTAGAAAACGTAGACACTACCACAGTGATGTCCCCCCAAGTAAAGAGGTTATATTTAGTGCTAGAGCTGCTGGCAGTGATGACCCCCACGTAAAGAGGTGGTGGCAGTGATGTCTCCCACATAAACGAAAAGGGGCTGCGTGTGCTCACTCTGGGACGCTGAACCTCAAGAGCAAGACATGCACAGTTCAAACAATCGGGTGAGTACTTTTCGAGACTCACTCGGAGGCGTCTCGGCGGTTTTTACGAGGAAATCTACAAGCTTACACAGAAATATGAGGGCAGGATGGTGTTTAATACACCAGAGCTAATGGGGAGCGGGGTGGGGGCTCAGATTATTCATGTAAAGGGGGACACGCCGGCCACGCCGATGAGGGTGAGAAGGCCCCAATGCCTGACACGCGTGACGTCACTACTGCGACCTCTAGTATTTTTATATAACCTCTTTGGTCTGAAACAAAAGTGGCAAGAAACGCTACTCCTGAACTCTGTATGTAGTTAATTTTTTTAAAAACCAAGGGAAATAAAACACACGTCAAAGTTGTACATCCGGGATGAAAATAGTTGATCTATTTAAAACAAAAATGAAGATTTTTTAAAAGAATATTTGAGTTTAATGACAAAGACACGATAACGGTTATTCAGGGCAGTGGATAAGCAAGACAGACAGAAACAACTGAGGGAAAGAAAAGAAGTAGGACCTACTTTTTAGACTACTAAGTATCGTTAAATCTTCTGAAGACGTCATTAGTAATGACTGTTCAACTTGGCTTCAACACTACCTAGAACCTAGTGTTGATGTGAGTGTATGGGTGAGTGCACATAACCTTTGTGACGTCTACTGCCAATGTTATCCACCAAGAAAAATTTCTCCATGCGAGATGAATAAAGATGGTCATTGTCATTGTCAAGGTGTTCGCCTCTCATTCAAAGGTCCCGGGTTTGAATCCGGGTAGAGACGGAAACTTTTTCTTCTCTAAAATTGTCTCCTTTCACCTCCTTTCCTGCTCCCCAGCAATCTTCTGTTGTCTGCTTTCGTCTCCACTTTCTGCCCCCACCTCCTTTGCCCCCTCCTCTGGGTTCCTGACTTTTTCTGCAACCCTTCTACTGCTACTCCTAGGCTCCTTCTTACAGCTGTCTTTCGGCCACACCCCTGATCTTCTAGTAAAGATCTACACCTAGCCTTCTCGGACAAGGGTGGAAAATCTCGGGGGTCCTGTGTGCAAGTTGCGCACGTTAAAGATCTCTTGGCGGTCTAAAATCGATGAGTAGACTTCGGCCGCCATCCGGGCAAAATTCAAAATGTCCTACCAACTGAAAATGTTTGGTGTGTCCCGCGCACTCATATGACCTTATGCAGTTGCGAGCGCCATAAAACACTTACCAAAAACAAAAAAGTCTTGTAAGAAGGCACAACACTATCGGAGATTTAGTTGCCTGTGAGGGCCTGTCGATTGATGTCCTGGAAGCTGTAATCAATGACTCGTGCGCTAGTGGAACTACCAATATTGCGAACGCATTGCAACTAACGGTCGAGGTCATATGTGAGGCAGCGTGGTGGAA